GAGGCTGGGACTGGCGGTAGCTGCAAGTGGTCGCCGGAGTAGACCACCACAGGTAAGCGCCCCCACCGCTCCTGAGGCTTGTAGTACACGTTCCTGTTCAAGCCGTATTTTGCCTCGCGGGCGCACGTGGTTCGTAGAGCCCCGGCGTGGTTGAGCTCGCCTTTCGGTTGTGAGTGCCCGTCGACATACAAGGCGCCTGCGTCGACGTGGGCGACGGCGAGTTTCTGGCGAGTCTGCATGTTCAAGGCCAACGCGCGTGTTCGCATGGAGCTCTCGGGCGTCAGCCCCTGGCCAGAGTGCATGGCGCGACCGCCGATGAGTCGAGCGGATTTGCTCGAAGGGGCCCGTCGCAGGACTCCCTCGGGGTGGAAGAACGTCTCGAGTAAGGGCAGCAAGATCTCGGCGCTCAAGGTCGTCTTGCCGCAGCCACCCCCGCCGCCCACGATCATGGCCATGAGGGCGCGAGCTGGATGGAGCCACGTTTCGCTCGGATCGGGGCACTCGAGGAAGGCCTGCTCCAGACGGGTCACGAAGAGGGCAATGCACTGGAGCTGCTCTCCGTTGAGTTTGCAGGGCCGCGTCGGTGTGGAGCGTCGCCCCCGGCAGCGTCGAACGAGCATCTTGGCCACATGTGCTGGGCCTCGTAAAACGTCGGTCAAGTCATTCCACTCACGCTCCGGTTGTTGCTGCTGCAGGTTGTGCAACGCTGCCTCCGGAATGATGGGGTCGATGTCGTCGACGGGCATGTCGCTCTGCATGGTGGCGGTGCGTTTCAGGTGTCTCACGATGGCGTCTTGCATGTCGAGTGCGGCGGTGAGCCCGGCAAGGGAAGAGCCATAGCTTCTTTGGACCTGTGCAAGTGCCGCGTCGTTCTCTGCCGACGGGCCGCGCAGCTTTGCGTGGAAAAAGGTCGTCGAAGGTCTTCATATGTTTCAGCTCCTGGCTCTTTCGACCGGGTCTCTTGGCCGCTTCAAGTTCTTTGGGTCGTGTCAAGATGCCGGTCAACTGCTTCACGTTCAGGGCTCCGAAAATTTGTGGGGAGCGTTCTGCGGGGTCGACCGCCTCGTTCACGGGCTCGTCCGGGTCGACGCCCTCGCCGCCATGGAACTCCGTCTCGACGCCGTGGGGCGTCTCCATCGGTGGTGCCTCGACGAGTTCGTCCTCGGCGTGCCCCCTGCAGCCCGTCGTAAGTTTCGTTGTGCGTGCAGTGGTGAGGCCGTCAAGGTGCTGGATGACGCTCTGTAGGTGGTAGGCAGAGAACTCTGCCACGGTTAATTGGTGCTCGCGGTGGAGGGGCGCGTTTAAAAGGCGAGGATGCGGGGTGCGAAACATGGCAAAGCACGGCCGCATTGCTGGACACACCACTGAGAGAAGCAGCACAATAGCTCGAGCGGAGGAGCACTCCTGGTGCCAGAATTGTGGGCACGGCACAGAGACGTGTCTGCAAGGACGGGAATGCGTTTAGCAGCGTTGCTCTTTTCCTCAGCTCGTACTGCCAAGAGCTCAGCCGGCCGGGCCTTCCACTGCTGCCGGCACTTGAACGTGGTGGGATCCGTCGGTGAAAAGAAGGCTGGTCGGTGCAGCAAGGGGGCGTTGCAGCGGCTCCGTCCAGGGCATGTAAGCAAAGTGCCCGGTGGTGCACAGCGGAGGGCCTCCAGCATCGGTAGTGTGTGTTGGCCTTGTGTTTTGAGTTTTTGCCAATGCGATTTGGCGAGCTCGCAGTGGTCGTCGAAGGCAAAAACGTGCTCGACCCGGTCGGTGTCCGCGAGCTGGGCCTTGACAGGTCGTGGGCTGCGAAGGGCGCGTGTCGCGTAGGTGTGTAAGTCGAGATCAGCGAAGAAGGGGCCGCGATGCAGCCAGTCGTCATAAACTCTCGTGGTGTTCGTGAGCGTTGTGATCTGGATCGTGTCCGCCGCTTCGTCGTCGGGGGCCTCTGCCGCTACGTCGTCGGGGGCCTCTGCCGCTTCGTCGCCGGGGGCGTCTGCCGCTTCGTCGCGTTGGTCGGGGGCCTCTGTCGCTTCGTCGTCGGGGGCCTCTGCCGGGGACCCGCCCTGAACGACTTCGCCCGCGTCCGCCGCAATTGCAGGCTGCGCAGCACTGGTTGAGGAAGCCGCAGCGGTGAAGGCGAGGACGTCCACCGCGCGGGCGTCGTCGCGCGAAAGGTCCGGTGCGCCCAGCAGAATCTCGTCGCCGAGTTGGAGGAGCCGTCGACGATCCTGCAGCATGTACATCGGTCTGCTCAAGAAGACCGCGACGGGCACGTGAGTCTTGCGTGCGAGAGCACCGGTGGTACTGTAGCATGCGAGTTCGCACGCGGAGCACCAAGGGCATCGGTTCGCAGCCGTCGCAATCCGTAGTCCGTAGTGTCGTCTTGCGTGCGCGATCCTCGACGGATGGCCTGGCGTCCGCCACGTCGTCTTCCTCCTCGAGGCGCCGGAGGCCAACGGCGATGTGTGTCAGCACGCCTTGTATGTAGCTGTTCCATGGGTTTGCCTTGGTATTTCGCGATGTAAAAATCACAGTTGTGAGCGGCTTGATGCATCGCCACCAGGGAATGGAAGCACCGACGCAGCAGTGGTGCATCGGGCAGCTGCAACCGCGCGCCGTACATAGCGAGGGCAAGCTTCGGATCCGTCTGTGGAACAAGCGGAGCCTCGGTCGAGCTCGTGAAGAACTGCTCTGGATCCAAGGTGCGGGGCATGAATTGGAAGTCGATGTTGCAACGGCCCCACACTTGACCCACGTCGGTCGTTGCCGGTCGGAAGGGCGTGTGTCGAACAACGGCGACCTTGCCGAACTCGTTGCGATCGTTGGTGTTGGCAACGTAGGCGGCCTCGACAAATTGATTGCCCCTGCGGCGGATGCGTTTCACACCGTTTTGAAGGGGGCCGGAGAGAAATGTCACGATGTGAAAAAGAAAAGACGGCATGCCACGACGCGGCCCCTTCGCAACGCCTCCTCGGCGGCCTCCTTGCACTTCTTCTGAACGTATTTGATACAAGTGCTCGTACAATCGTGATCGTGGTTGAGCTGGTGGAGTGCACCGAAATCACGACCGAAGCTCAAAACGAACCTTTTTGCATCTGCGATCAGATCCTGGAGGCCAGCAGGCTGTCCAGCTCTGCCTTCCTCATCTGGGGGCGGAGCGATAGGCTGTTCAGCACTGCCACATTCACCTGGTGGATGCAGGAGGCCCGCGATGTGGTCGCTCTCGCCGTCGGCATACCAGCTCAATGCCGCGGTCGGCACCTCCACCCGCTGAGTGTCGCTCGTCGCACCAACCTCATCCAAGGGAGTGGCGTTGCAAGCACTTTGTGGAAGACGACGCGTGGGCATGAGGCTCTGGTGACAGCCTTGCAAGGAGACCTGCGAGTAGCACGACAGCACTGGCCGCTGCTCTGCATGCGCGCGGCGGTGTTCCCGGACGCGGTGGCCGGGGAGCTCCTGAGGTGTGGTCTCCAGGAGCTGTCTGTGAGTGCCGTCCAGCTCTAAACCGCCGTCGAGCCGTGCCTGAAGCTGTTGCTTAAGTCCTGGTAAAGTTCTCAGCCGGCACGGTTTGCCCGATCTGGGTGGCGGGCAGGGTCGAGGCCTCGTACTGCAACGACTCAGCGCAACTGATCAAGGCTTGCTGGAGGTCTTGAAGCAGGCTGCGCAGCACTGCCGGATCTTGCTCCCGGAAGAGTCGCACGACGTTGTGGTCGCGGGTGGCCGGGATCTTGTAGACTTTGCGGTGGCCGTGCTGAAAACCACGGGCTTGAGACCCGAAGGGCTCCAGTTCCGCGATGCCGAAGCCTCCAAGGGCGGGCATGCAAGTACAAGGGACAGGGTCTTCTTGGAAGGTGTGCCTGAAAACACATTGCACGTGGCGCCTGCCAATGAAGGAGCCGTCGATCCCCATAAAGTAAATGTCCACGATGTCGTCCATGAGCTTGAAGAACTGAACCTGCGCCCGCGAGGACTCCGCAACGAATTGCTGCATGCGGTGCAACGATGGCATGTCAGGCTGTTCAGCGCTGAGATCACACGTGATGTCGCCCATGACCTCTTCGCCGCTGCAAAGCCTGAAAGGAAGTGGTGCGTAGTTGTCGGCGAAATTGAACGTGGCAAAGACTGTCAAGGAACCAAACGCCATGTTCAAATTATGGCCTTCATGTCGTAGGTTGCGTCTGTAGCCGTCTGTCAAAGGTGCGTCTTTCGTGCTGATGAGCACCTGTCGTAAGGCAGTGGCGAGTTCTCTGGAGACGCGGTCGTCTCGTGCGAGCGCCTCGGCGTTCGCACTCCCTATAGCCTCATGGGCGAGGGCTTGGACGCAATGTGCTGAAGTGGCGTTCGCAATGAGCCGCGCATCCTTCTGGAAGCCTTTTCGTCTGACGGCGGCACGCGCGTCCTTGAAGAGAGCAAGGCGGCGCAAGGTGTCGCCGAAGACACAGTCGCGTTCCGGCGCGTCGAACCTGCTCTTGTGCCTTGCCCGGTATGGTGCCGGATCCTCTTCGAGATGGTACTCGAGCTCCTCTCGATGTAGGAGGGCGGCAAAGAGCTGCTCAAAGGTGATCGTACGTGGTCGCTGTGGATTGTTCGGGAGGCCGTCGCCAAACCACCATTCGGAAAATAAACACTTGGACCACGTCGTCGGGTCGAACATGCTCAAAGGCTTCTGCGAGGGCACGAAGAGGGCCTTGTCGGACTCGGCAGCGTTCTCTAGGAGAGCGAGGTTCCTCTCCCAATTGCGGGTGTTCAGCTGCTGGGGGGCCTCTCGCAAGTCCGCGACGGCCCTGAAGCGCTGCTCCTCCGCAGCGGCTCTGGCCGTGGCCAAGGAAGCAGGCTGTGTAGCACTGCTGTCGCTCTGTCCGCTCGGATTCCCGCTGCTGGCGGAACTGGGGGAGGCGACTAACTCCCCGCGCGTGTTCCAAGTTGTGTTTGAAGGCGGCCGCGTGCTGCGCGAACGCGGGCACGGCCGTAGGGCCCATGCCTATCGGGGTTTCGAGCTAGTTGAGGTGCTCCACGTTTTGTGAGGCAGCGCTGGGCTGCGCAGCGCCAGCTGGAGCACCCCCCCCCCCGACGCTGTCGCAGTGTGCTCGTCGTCGTCGCTCTCAGAAAGCTCGTCGGGGGCATCGTCCTCGGGGCGGGCCGCGTCCAAAGGATCGCGGACGGTGCCCGGCCCTGAGCGCGTCGCGCTGCAACGCTCGACCTCCGGCATCTGGACGGCGCAGTCCAGGAATTGCTGTGGCACGCCGTTGAGCGGGAGAGCATCCACGGCGGCATGGCCCACGGAAATCTTGGCGAAGATGGCGTTGACCCGGGCGCGCTCCGCAGCGAGGGCCTTGTCGGCTTCGCACTGCGCGGTGAGGAGCTGACACTTGCGCAGGTCGTCAGTGTCCCGGCCGAAAATCACAACGAACCTGTCCTTCAAGTGCGTGGAGGACGGCGGTAGTGCCTCCGCGAGTGTGGCCGAAGCTTGCGAGATCAGGATGCGGTTGCCAGTGGATCCTGACTGCAGCGTCTCCTTTTGGCCCTTGCCCACCAAGTGTTTGCGGAAACATGCCCTGCCAGGGCCCAGCAACATCCGTAGACCCAGGGATGCGCTCTGAAGGGCCGTGCGCCCCCGACCATGCCAGAGATCGCTTGCGGGGGCAAACTCGGGCATTTTGATGAACTTCTCTTCGGTGCACAAACAGACTGCACAATCGTGGCAAATGTGCGCTGTCTGGTCAGGATCGCCGATCCCAGCGCACATCGGCGCCCCGACATCGCGGACTGCAGGCTGTTCATTGCTGCCCTGCTGGCCCCTTTGGTGCACAGGCTGTGCATCACTGCTGGGGCGACCCTGTCGGCTGTCGGGTAGGAGCGGTATGCGTCGGGCGTGTAGCAACCGCGCCATGGAGTGGTCTGAAGGGTGCAGCACGGAAGAGGCGAGGACCTCGGCCTTCGGGATCAACGGCCATCGCTCCATGCGCCCGTCCGTGGACAAGTGCCCGTTGATTTTGTCACGGCCCCCGAAGCAAAGAGTGTCGCCGCAAGTGAGGAACGTCGAGGTTCCGCTGCCTGTGTGCCGGAGCTCTGTGATAATCCGTTTTTCGGTGGCCCCCCGCCAAAGGTACACGGGATAAAGGTTCTCAAGCCAATCTTTCCGCGCACAGGCGACGCAGGCCACCTCGCACTTCGCCTTTGCCACGGCGAGGGCCTCTGGGTGGTTTCAATGGAGCAAGAAGACACCAAGCACCGAGAACGTCAGGTGGAAGGTGGCGGACTGCAAGATGTGCCTTTTGACCCAGGGCAACAAGGGCTTGAAACCGTCCTGTTGCGCTCGCCACAGGAGCCTCTTGCGATACTCCGCGCAACCGCCGCCGGCGTCGGAGCAGTGCTTGAAGAAGGCGCCGCTGTGCGTGAACCCTTCGCCGCAAATCCAGCGCGCGACCGGTGGCGAGGCCACGGGAAGCATGAGGTCTGGTGCTCCTACAGGCAGTGCAGCACTGTCTGCGAGGCGGGTGAAGTAGGCCGGGAGTCGGTTCGCCGCGAGTTCCACATTCTCACCACACGCGTCGTGGGGTGTGTACCGTTTGCCACAGTCGCCCTTGAAGTTGGCGACAAGCCGCAGGATAGGCCCAAAGCGTAGAACGAATGCCTTTGGAGGCTTCTGCGAAGTGAGCAAGAGGCGAAATAAGGTGCACGTCGCTAAAGTGTGTTTTGAGAGTGGTGTGGCCGTGATCCCGTGTTGCTGAGCGCACAAGAAGAAATCCTCAGTGGCGGTGTTGAAGAGTTCAGCGAAGTGGTTCGCGTCGCGACGGCGTGCCTCCGGGATCTTCAGGGCCTTCAGCAGCCAGTCCTGCTTCAAGTGCTGTGCGTAAGGCTCGTTGTAGAACTGCTGCAGCACCTCGCAGACCTCTGCGACGGCTGCTCTGAGGCTGTCTGTGCATAGGACCTGCGGCGCTCTGTGATGACGTCCTGCAGGGCTGTGGCCGTGCGATGTGTGCTCAGTAGCACGTGAAAAGGGACGTCTGATAGCTCCAATGCTGCCAGCATCGTCAAAGAGTACCACGCGTGGGCATTGAAGAGTTGCTCGTTCGGGTCGTGGCGTCCGAACGGTGCGGTGGGCAGCGTCTCGGCCTCGTTGAGGCGCGCGTGGAGCTCCTGCGCGGCGCGGGGCGGTGCGTGCTCTGTTGTTGCGGTGGCCCCGTGGAGCTTCGTGAAGAACGGGAAAGATTCCTCGTTCAGTGGCTCTCGTGTGGCGAGGTACGTTTGGATTGCGGAGTCGCGGGGCCGGCATGCAACGGCAGTGGCCGTTTTGTAATCACGGTGGTGGCCTCTGCACGGTTGTCTTCCGAGCTGAAGTTTGCCGCAATGTATGTTGTAGAAAGCACGGGCCTCTGCTGATTGGAGTGTCCTTTGACTGGCAGGTATGCCTTGCAACTGATTCGCCTGTCTAAGCAACTTCGTGAGTGCTTCGCTGCCGTCGTCGTCTGCAGCCGTCTGGCGTTTGAGTCGTCTGAGCTCCTGGGCCGTTTGGACAATGGCTCATCGTAGCTCTGTAAGATCATCGGCGCTCGATCCATACTGAAGGATGCTGCGTTGAATGTGTTCGGGTCGCGTGGAGGTGGTGGTGCCGCTGCTGCTGTTGCTGCTGCTGTTCCTGCTGCACCAGGTTGTGCGGTGCTGGTATTGGTGACGACTTCCCCCTGCAAGCTGCTGATCCCTGCGGCGATGGCTGTAAGCCGCAGCTGCTTCGTCGGTGGGCCAGGCTGCGCAGCGCCGGCGCTGCTCTCCGTGCGCCCGGGCAACGTCGAGCTAGAACTCGCCGCTGCCCCTGCATGCTGGCTGCCGGGCTGCGAAGCACCGGCAGAACTGTCCGAGTTTTGCGGGTGGCCCCGCAGGATGTTCACGATCGAGGTGCCTCGCTGCCGCTTGGTGGGTATGCCAGGCCGCGCAGCACTGACGCTGTCCAAAAGTCGTTTACCTGCGCACCCAGCGACAGCAGGCTGTGGAGCACTGCTCGCGGCACCTGCAAGCGCTGCAGGCTGTTCAGCATTGCTTGCACTAGGTTCAACACTGCTCGCGCCTCCTGCAAGAGCTGCAGGCTGATCAGCGCTGCTTGCGGGGGCTCCGGTCTGGCCGTCGAGGCTAGCTCGGAGCCTGGTGCCTTCGGTGATGACCGCCGGTTGCAACTCTCTGATCAAAGTCGCAAATGGTCGGCGTTGTTTCTGATCTGTCTGTCGCACATTCCATGAAGAACAGAGAGGGGACACCTCTTCCCGTCGAGGGTTGGGCGTCTTCGTGAGCACCGAAACTGCCACACGCAGTTTTTGAAAGTCTGGTGCGTTACACGCAGCACCTCGCGCAGTCAACCACCGATTCACGGCCGCGATGGAACTGAACGTCTCTGCAGGTTGTTCAACACTGCTTGGAACAATGTTTCTGCTGGCTGCTCAACACTGCTTGCTGCGTCTCGTGCCTCGCCGCTCGAGGTCCGTGCGAGTGCCCGCATGACGCAATGCACTGCTGCGCGCTCTTGCGCGGCAATGCGAATTGCGGAACTGAGGCTGAACGGCAACGAGGATGAAAGGCATTACGACGCGGTGCTGAACAAATACATGCACACACATGCACACACACACACGCAGTATCCCACATCTACAGCTACACCTACATCTACATCCACATCTACAGCTAAGCTAAGCTGAAGTAAGCTAAGCTAAGGACCAACAGGGCAACCGGAGGAGGCCCGAGAAAACCAAGGAAATGGATGCTGCGGTGATGCGATGGCGCCCATGGCGGGGGCGACGGCGGCGACTACGATGATGTTTTTCGCCTCCACGCCCGCCCCACAACAGTTTGCATCGCCGCGGCCAAAACGCAGGCTATCCAGCACTGCGCCTCGAAGGCTATTCAGCACTTCTATCTGCGCAGCAGCTCAACTCAAAGCTTGAACGGAGGTCGGGAGCACTTCTATCTGCGCAGCAGCTTTACCTCGAGGCTTGAACGGAGGTCTCCACGAACGCACGCCGTACCCGACGAAGACGACGCGCGTCGATGTTCACCTGCTCACGCCTCGCAAAGTGGATCTCATGACGACTTATTCTGCCGTCCCCCCTGTTATTTGTAAGCGACGCCAGGTGCTGGCTCCGTGTAGAACTTGTCAATGACTGCCGAAAGGGGGATGTCCCACCGCTTTTCCGTCGAATGCTCAACCAGCCAGCGCACGTTCAAGCCTGCCGCGGCGGGATCAACAGGCTGTTCAGCACTGAGTATCATCAAGGCGTCTGCGGCAGCAGGTTGCGCAGCGTTGCCGGCATTGGCGCCGCCCGGCCCGAACGACATTAGTCCGCGCAACATCCTGCAGACAGCCATAGAGAGCTATGGACATACATACATCGTCACAGACATATAAACCTACAAACGTACTCACAAACACATATACATACGTATATTCAGACATACATGTATACATACATATGTACATACAATGATCCATACATACATACATACACACACATAGATACATACACATATACATGCACACATATATGCATACATAGATACACACATAGATGCATACATAGGTACATACATAGATACATACAGATGCATACACACATAGGTACATATTTTCAAGCGGTCTGTCCATTCTGGATCGCTCCTGCCGCCTGGCGTAGGGCATCTTTGGCCTTCTCAAGGGCTTCGGCGCTAGTTTCGGCGCTGTTCCACGAGCTGCGATAGAGCTCCAAGTTGCGACCGCTGAGAGGAGCAGCGAGAAAGAAAACTGTCAACTCGTAGCTCCCAGCGAAGTGAAGAAGGAACGCGCGGAAAGCGCGCCGCAACATTTGATGTCATTGCTGCCTCGATGCCGCCCGCGAATCTCGCAGCGTCTGGGGGTGCATCCATTGTTCGTAGTCGCCTTTCCAATCGCGCAAGGCACGTTCGAGCTCTCCTTCGCTCAGGATGTCGATGCTGGAGTCGTTGCAGATTCTCTCGCGGCGTCCGGTTGTCAATCTGATCAGCAGCTCTAATTTTGACCTCAGCAGCGCAGCACTCGCCGTCCGGGAGGTACCCGACAGCGCCGTCAGAGAGGAGCCCGTACCAGAGGAACTTGTACGTGACCCACTCCAGCGCCTCGTCCGAGACCTCGTCCAAGACAGCGGCCAAGTGAGGACATGCGGCACGATGCCGGGGCGCAGGCTGTCCAGCTCTGCTGCTTCTTCCAGACTCAGCTTCGGCCACGTGAGGACATGCAAGAAGATGCCAAGGCGCAGGCTGTTCAGCGCTGCTGGATGAGAGGACGGTGCGAGGACGAGCGGGAACAGACGCAAACGCAGGCTGTCCAGCTCTGCTTCGGCGAGAGTCCCACAGAGAATCGAATGCGACGTGCGCGTCGCCCATCGTCCAAGCATTCTCCCATGCCCCTCGGTATCTGGCCAGCTCCTCGGGCGCGATGGAAAGCCCAGCTCTGGCCCAGATTTTCTTCATCACGTTCCTGTTGAATTGTGACTCTGCCATCTCTTTGTCGAACAGAGGCGAGCAGCCAGCGCGGATTATAACGACGTCGCCCTCCAACATTCCAAGTTGCAGAGGGACGGGTCATCCATGGGATGCCCATGTCTGGCCGCTCGGAGCACGCAGCGCACTGCTCCAACAATGCACTGCTCGGAGCACGCACCGCACCTTAGCGCCTGGTCCAATGGAACGGCTAGCTCTGCGATCCAGCCGTTCCATTGACAGACAGGTTGTGCAACGCTGTCGAGCTCAAAGACGGGAGCTGCCGCGAGAATCCGCGGGTAAACGCCGCTCTGCCCGTTTTCTGCAAAGATCTTGGGCTCTGGGTCCGCTTCCTTGCGAACCTTGAGGACCTTGCCGGCGAGTGGGTGGCCATCGTTGGGATGCGCGGCTTCCAGCAGGTACGCAACCTTGAATAAGCCGTGGCCACGGCACAGAGCTCTGAAGTGACAGCCACACACGTAGGCATCCAGGATCGCGGGCAGAGGCGGCCGTTGCGCGCGAGTCCACTGCTGCTCTTCATTTTGAAACATGGACGCCCGGATCTGCCAAGCGTCAGCAGGCTGTGCAGCGCTGCTCAGGCTTGGGAAGCGTCCAGCAGGCTGTAGAGCGCTGCTGTTGGCATCAGACGACATGACTGTACTGGCGGCAGGCAGTGCAGAGAAGGTCGGCTGTGCAGCACCACCTGGTGGCGAAGCGGGCCGGCACGGAGGTTTCTTCGAGTTGCACCCCTTAAAGTGCAATGGGAATTCCACTCCTTGGTCGTGTTGGCGTCGATCCTCTGGTCGGTCAGGAATTCCGTGCCTGGCAGCTTGAGGCGATGCATGGAGTCGTAGTCGAACCAGTCCCCTGAACGCGATAGGATGCTCACTGCTGCGCGCAATTCTTCAAACCGAGAAGCAGGCAACGCGAAGATGACGTCACTCATGCCCTTGCGCCGGGTCTGATAGGACGGAGCCACAAGGTTTGGCCTCTTCCACTCTGCGTCGACGCTGGGCAGGAGTTCTGCATCAAACCGTGTGAAGAGCACGTGGAAATAGCTATCCAAGTCGCACGCCTTCTCGAGAACGTCCATAGCCGATATGAACGTCTGAGTCTGACAACTACCCTTGGCCGCGAAGTGGAAGGCGACCGGAGCGGTCAGTGCATCACTCGACATATCTACCAAGGTTCTCTCGGTGATCCTGCCATCGGAGAGATCTGCCACTAAGGCGATATCGATGCGAGGCTAAGTCAGGGTGTCCACTATCATGGTTTTGCCGGAGTTAAAGATGTCCTCGAGATCTTCCAATGTCATGTCTTTGTCACAGCGAATGTCTTCTAAAGATGACCTGGATGACGCAGAGCGTAGAACTTCGCCTCGGTAGACAACTAGGACGCGTTTCATATCCTGTT